TCTGTTAATTTTTCCGTTTACCCCTCTCGCTGTCCAAAATTTCCTTCCGTATTTCCTCCATCCTCACTACACTCCTTGTTTTCTCGTATATTTCCATGATTTTCTTTCCCAACTTCTCATTCACCCCTGGTTTTTTCAGACATTTTCCCAAAACCCTCCTGTCCACTGAATCAAATGCCGCTTTTGGATCTACAAAAGCAGCCATTACCTTCTTTTTCCTCTTTAATCGCTTCCCTATCGCATAATTCAGTGTGTAAATGTTGTCCACCACTCCTCTCCTCTTTCTAAACCCTGCTTGGCTTTCTGGAATCATCCCCTTCTCCACCATCTCTTCCCTCAACCTATTTGCTAATATCGACGCGTACACTTTGTACGCCGTCGGTATCAGCGTAATCCCTCTATGTTCACTACCTCTTTTGCCCCTCTTTTTCGCTATTGAAACGACTACTCCGTCCTTCCACGCCTCTGGAAAACCCTCTCCTTTCTATACTCTCCCATAACGCCTTTTTTAAACTACTTCCCCCATAACTCCACACTTCATTTCCTATCTAGTTCTCTTCCGCCGCTTTACCTTTTTTCAGCCTTTTCAGCACTCTCTCTACTTCCTCCCATCCAATTTCCTTCTCTTTCTCTACTTCCCCCTCCGATCCCGGCTCTCCCTCCTCTCCTAGAAGAAGCCTTCACTTGTATTTCGTTCCTTCTAACATCTCCCTAAAGTATTTATCCCACTCCTCTAATGTTATCTCCTTATTAATTTCTACCCTTCTTCTCCTTTCCTTGTTTATTACTTCCCACACCTGCTTCTCTGTTCTCGCCTCTCTTGCCTCTTTCAGCAGATTTCTCTTTTTTCTTCCTTTTTCCTCACACTTTTCCTTATACTCTTTTCTTCTCTTATGATCTTCTTTGTGTTTTCTTCCTCTTTTCCAGTCTCTTAATAATTTTTCTATCCCCCTCCCTCTTCTTCCTACAGTCCCCATCCCACCATACTCCTTTTTCTTCTGCCCCTCTTTTTACTCTTCTCAACCTTACTTCCATCTTAATTTTTTTGTCAACTTTTCGACCTCTTTATTTATTGCCCCCCTACCTATTTCTACCTCCTCCGTCCTTCTTCAAAACTCCTCTCTTGCCTCTTCCGACCAATCCGTATTTTCCACCCACCTCTTTTCCTCCATTATTGTTCCTCTCTTCTCACACCACCCCCTTTGTTCAACCGTACTGCTACTGATTGGTGATCCGAATCTACCTCACATAATCTACCTTTAATCTTGTCACTATTTCCCAAGCGTTTCTATCTCCTATTGCGTAATTGATCACTGTTTCCCCGCTTCCTCCTGTAAAAGTCGCCTCCCCCTCCTCACCTCCCTCCTTTGCTTCGTTCATAATTTCCCACCCTTCCTCTTCCACCCATCTAATCAGCCCTTTTTCCTGCCTATTTATCATTTTATCTTTCGATTTTCTTTCAGTTCTCTCTTCTCCATCCTCCAGCGCTCCTTTCTCCCCTGTTCTCGCATTGAACCCACTATCCATCTCTCCTCTCTCCCTTCCTCCTCTTTTACCGATTTTATCTTACCCATCATCTCGTCCAAGTTGCGCTTACGTAAACTGTTGCCAATCTCCATTTCTCCTTCTTCCATCTTACTTATCTAATCATTAAACCTTCCTCCTCCACCCATTCTTCTTCCTTTTCTAACTCTTCTCTGACTTCCATCATTATTCCACCTATTGCTTTTTTTTTCTTCCAACTCTTTCTTTCTTTGCACTCTGTATACTCCAGAACTTCTTTGGCACCCTATTCTTCATCTTCTCCCATTTCTCCCGTTCCAGCCACGTCTCCACCAACCCCGACATTCCACTCTTTTTATCCTTTCCCAAAACTCTTCCTGTTTTTCCTTCACTCCCGCTACATTCCAAAAGTTTATCTTTAGGCTTCCTTCCTGTTCCTTCCTTTTTTCCTCCCTCTTTAATTCTTTTCTTCCCCCTTCTCTTTTTCTCCCCTCTTTTTCCTCTCTTTAACTCCTTTTTACTTTCCCCACTTTACTCTCTCTGACTCCTTTCCCCCCTCCCCTCAGCCTCACCACACTCCCTTTTTTCCTACTCTCCCTCTCCTCCCTTTTCTCTCCACCCTACCCTCCCATCGTTTTTCCTCCCTTCTCACTATCCTCCCTTTTCATTTTTCCGTCTTCCTCTTTTCCACTCTTTCTCTCTTCCTCTGTTCCTTTTTCTTCCCCCTCCTTCTTCTTGTTCCTCTTTCTCATTTCCTCTTCCATCTGTCATGACTTCTTTTTTCTCATCCCAACTCCACCACATCCCCTTTATCGAAATCTTTCCGTACTTTAGCTCTCTTTCTATTCTTTCTCTCCTTCTCAGCTATCCTTTCCAGGCTCCATTACATTTTTCTTTCCTTCAAGGTCATGTCATTTTCTATTCTTTCCATCCTCCCTTTCCACATATTTTTTCTCTGCATTACTTCTCATTTTTTTACTCTATCTTTTAACCTTACTAAAACCATCTTCTTTTCTTTCCCCGTTTTTCTTCCTATCTCTTTTACCTCCTCTATTCCTCTCTCTACCCCCGTCTCTAGCCATAGCTTCTCTACCGCTCCTTTTAGCCTTCCCTCCTCCACCTCTACCCTTTTCACTACTACATTGTTCCTCCTTTTAGTTAGTTATAATTAACAAATTAATAGTTTACATATTTATATATTTGTATATAAGGTGTGCCATTTTAAACGCCCCAGACAAATATCTCGAAAAATATGGAAGATATGAAAAAACGTTTTAGACAAAAAATGCATCAAAGAGGACAAATAATGATAAAACCAATTTTCAAATAAATCAATTTTTTAAGGTCACATAAAGGTCATCGCCATTTTTTTTCATAATATGATTTTTCTAATTTTTCTTCATATAAAAGTATTAAGATAGTTGTAAAAAAATTAATAGTTTACAAGATATTTCATATTTTATTCTGGCACATTTTGGCGAAATATAAAATACCTCATAAACTATTCATTTTTTGGTAAGTGTACCTTTAACACTTTTACGTACAGAATAATAAAATGAATCAATTGGTGTAAAAAAATTGTTGCTTGGCAAAGAATTATGTAATTTGGAATATGCAACCACATGTCTTTCTTGAAAATAAGTAACAATGTGTTTTCTTTACACCAACTGATAAAAATGTTGCATTACAAGGAATAAAAAAATGCTAGTATGTTTATTCTATACATTCTTAGCTATACTATAATTTTATAAAAAAAGTAAAAGTATTTACTATAATTATGTTATTCCTTATAAACAAATATACTAAAACCTTATAAACAACATACTAAAAAGCTACATATGGATACATCCAAAACATTTTTTATTATAGGTCTCTGGTATTTTTACGCTACGCGGGGTTTTACGCCGCAGATGTCAGAAAAAATAGAAGGAATGAAGTTACTTGCTCGCAATTATTCTTTTATGTGCCTTTATGCTATATTAGTATTGTGTTGTAATTTCAGTTCTTTATTGTTAATATTAACGAAACTGTCGTGATTTGAATTAATTTCTCACCGTAGTAAGAAGCGCGATCTTGTGTTACGACCTACGTAAAATAATTACTGTAGGGAATGTAAAAAGTTTAATGATTATTTCATGATACATAAGTGTAGAGGGATAGTAAATGATGGAATACAGCAAAATACAAGTGCATAACTCTTGTATTTTTTGTTTACCTTAATATCTTGTATATCCCTCTTGTGTTTAGGATGTACGGCAAGTTAGCATGCGGGATTTAGGCCATAGTACGGATACTTTGTAAAACTCGAAATTTCCTGTGTTCTTTTTCCTTCTCTTTTTGGATCGTATAACAATAATAATCTTTAATGCACCCCTATCGTTCTTCTATTTTCTTTTTAAAATTTTTTAGTTTTATAATTTGTTTATCTTTCTTTCATTTTAATAAACTTCTTACACACATTTTATAACTTGTTATGAGATTTTATTGCCTTATTTATAAACATTATTTGTAACTTTTTATAAGGCTTACATTTTACTCATGAATGTCATATAATCCACCCTTCTTATATATCTTCAGGATATATGGCAAAAATGCAAGTGTTTCTAAGTTTTTTTTTATTAAATACAAAAATTCAATACTTTATGTTTCTAGTAGTAGACAGTATAAAGTTTTTATTAGTATAATTCATTTGCCTTAAGCATATAGTAAATAGTACTCGATAAATTAAGTTTCCCTTAGCTGTGGCGTATATATCGGAGTTACCCTATTATATGTTTTTGTAAACAGATTGAAATCAAACTGCAAGTAAATTATTCATTATTATCTAACGCGTTTAACGTTTAGCATCGACTCGTTATCTGTTATTAGTTTAGAGAAATTAACAATTCGTCACTTTTTCCCCCTTTCTTTTATAGTACGAGATCCGGCCGCGTGATTTATACGTTTATCTGTTATTTTATTGAAATGCGATTTTAATGGAAGATTACATATCAGGTCATACATCGCGGCCGGTGTGCCTAGCAAAATTTTGCCGCAAGTACCCTCAATTAGAGCTGTTTTAATTAAATTTTTTTAGACAACTTTGTTCATTTGTTTGCGAAGTAAATGAAGCGTCATCTGAAAAAGAGTGATCTAAAGAACTTGAAAAAAATAGGTTGCCACCTCTCAGTCTGCCGCAACCTCCTGGCAGCCAAGTGCAAAAAGGTCCTTTTTTGTTAATTATCAACGTTCATCGTGTATTGAGACAATTTTTACACAAATTGAAGCTAAATTTTTTCTTTACACGATGGAATATGGTTGCCTGCGTAAAAGCTGCCGCAACTGATGGTTGCCAGCATTTGAATGATCCGCTCTCGCCTGCCGCTCTTCAATCTTAATGTGTTACAATGGAATAATTACAGCAATTTCCTTGAATTTCTTTAATATTACAATAGTTCCTAAACAAGTTTTCAAAAATTCCTTTTATAAATAAATTTCGCCGCTCATTCGTCTTCCGACTTGTCTGAACTCGCAACATCATACTCCAAATCATCAGAATTATCATTCGCGTTTTCAGAACTTTCATTCATCGACACGCGCAATACATCTTCAACTTTCAACGGCGTTGGATCCCCAACGAACCACGTTGGTTTCAAAAAACCATCCAATAAC